GCGAAGGTCGGTTAAACGAGACTCTACTGTAATAGAATCTGATTAAACAAACAGCACACAAAACAAAGCATTGTAACATATCTGTATTGTGCACATTTTTGATAAAGACGGAATGTTAGCTCAATCTGTGTGAAGCTTAAGATGATCAGTTCTCTTAAGGGGAGGAGGCTGATGGTTCACTCCCTTAACACACACACACACTTCCACCACTGCAGTCTGCTTTTCATGATACACATTTATGGAAGTGAATCATGTCCTGATTTAACAGATCTCTGCACACCTCAGAAAAAGGTTTGTCAGTGCTCACGAGGCTACAAATTTGTTGCCAAGGGTTTTAGGGTCCATCAGTCCATGGACAGCCAGATGGTCTTCAAATGGAGAAAATTCAATTAACATAGCTACTCTTCCCAGAAGTGGTTGTCTGAAAAAAATAAAATCAGCCAGAGGTGCAAAGAACTCCTGGGTAAAAGCAAATGATTTGCAGGCCACTCTTGCATTGTCTGAGTCAATGAGGAAAAGAGGCCAATAATGGAATAGCAGATAGCTGAGAATTTTCTATCAAGAAGGGAGAATTTGATTGGTTTCTCAAAGACAGGACAGCCACCAGACAATTTTTGGATCGCATTAGGAGGAATGGAGAAAAATGAAAGGGCTATGGAGTATGCCACCTCTGAAGCTTGCTCCCGGAGAGCGGCCCGGAAACTAGAAGAATGACTGCAAAGCAAACAAACCGTGTTTATGCCCATTCAAGGGGGAAGTTTGCACCCACAACACTGGCATTCATCAGATGGGGCCCTTAGGATCATAAGGCCAAACTAACAACTCTAAATTTAGAAGATTAAGAAATAAAGGGGAAAAAAAGAACTTTGATGAAGTGAAAGAAAAAAAAACAGTTAAAGACAAATAAGTTAATACTGTAGTGGTTGAAAATGAATGGAAAGATGAAGTGGGAGTCATGCCATGTTTTGTGGTACCCATGGGGAGGAACAGATCTCCAACCAAACAATCTGTAAGCTCTAGAAGGTACCAAATGAAATGCTGCACAGGCAAATGACCCATGTACATGAATAATCAAGACCACAACGAAGAATTAAAGCAGCAGCCACCTGATGGAGATCTTAACAGGAGCTACAGCTCTATCTTGAGATGTAATTTCCTAAAATATTCCTGAGTATAATGCAAGTATATAAAGGGAGTGGTGATTGTCAAAGATGTAAAACACACAATTCTAATTAAAATCATTTTTATAACCAATTAACAGTGTTGTTACTTACATCGTCATACACAAGATTCACAATGCCCTGTTGCATGCTGTCTCTTCTCCTGAAGAAATCTTCAAAAAAAAAAAAAGATTTGCAAATTTATACTGTAAAAATTCTGAACCTGTCTAGATATACACAAAAAAATCTATGGAGTATAACTAGATTTAAAATAGTCAGTCAAGCACAACCACACTATATAATGTAATTTGTCTCTGGAAATAACAATATTCCATTATCCATTCATTTCTCCAGTCATCAGAGGACAGCAGATTCTGTATAATCACTGCCAATACAATGGAATTACACCAGACTCCAAATAAGGCCACAGATGCTTGCCACTCTATGTAAAATATTTTGCCATATTCACTGCACTGTAAGGTTAAAGTACTCTTAAAGAATACTGTTTGCCATCTTGTCAATATTAGAACTCAAAACATTGGGACTTTGAAATGAGACTTGACTTTAAAGCTGACAACTGTTTCAGGAATCCAGAGAAGAGCGTACTCCAATTTTTATTATGAAAAATCCATTGGAGTAGTGATGGGTTAAGAAATCTGCTGTAAGAAAAAAAAAAAATGGGAGGAATTTCTCAAGCTGTCTCCTAGGCAGATATGTTCTACTTGTGCAACTAGACCTAGATCCAAGCAGTGAATGCTTACTTCATAAAATCAGAATATATATACAAATCCAGTACTTACCTGTTAAAGCACGAAGCTTCACACAGCAAGCCACATAGTCATCAAAAAAAATTCTGCCATTCTTGCTGTAACGTTTTACAATAGCAATTAAAGTCTGTGGGCTTAGCCTATAACCTGGATAAGGTAGTCAGAAAGAAAACACACTTAGGAGAACCTTTCCAATATTTGGGTATTCATAAACTATTTACAGTAGTCATAACCAATCTAAGATAGCAGAAGTTCAACAGGGATACAGTGGATAAAACAGAGCAACTTAAGACGATTTGTTAAGATGATTCAGTGTTCCTTAAGAAATAGAGTACTGTACTGCTGTATTGTGCAATTACAGAAGACCAATTTTCCCAGATCTAAGAAAAGGAACAGAGTCCATCAATTCCCAACCTAAATTAGGTAGCCAGCAGACTTGAATGCAGGAAACTACCTATGTAAGTTAGATTTCTAAGTCAGCAAAGTTTTACTTACCCATAGCTACAATAACTTGAGTCAGTACATGAAATTCCACAGTTCCACTTCGATCTTGATCAACCAACATGAAATTGTGTTTCCAAGCACTAAGAGCTGCCCAAAGTTCTTTAAATTCATTATATCCCATTTTTCCAGTATTGTGTCTCTAATGTAATGTGTTAAGAAGCGTGCCATCTTGTGGACAGGTGATTAAAAGATGGATAAGTGTTTTACCCGTATGGTACTGTATTCTGTTAATGTTCTGCATATTTGTGCTCCAATTTTGCTCATGTTTTAAACAAGTAAGTCATAAAGATCACTTGGCAAGAAAAGCATTCTCTTTTTACTCTGCTCTTTTAGAAAACAATACCTTTTCAATCTACACCTTTTAACACTGGTGTTTAAACAATTCTCAAATTAAGCTTGACTTTGGTGACAATATCGATATTGCTATGTAATTTTCTTAGGCCATAATATGGAAGTAGTTTGCCACTGCCTTCCTCTGGGGTATATTTTTCAACCCCTGAGTCTCACTTACAGCCCTGGGATTTTCTGATGGTCATGCATCTAAATACTAACCATACTTGAGATCAACAAAAGGATGGCTTAGTGATGCCACCTGCTGGGCACATACTGGATGTTACAGCACAGCACAGAAATTATTGGGGCTCTTTTGGTCACTGACTTGCATTTCAATTGATGACATATATGAGTCTATCTTTGAAAGAGGAACTGTAACAACAGCAGCAAACTTTGGGAGTCATCTACTTGTTATTTATGAGCTGGAAGCAATCTGAGGTGGAACAAAACTTTCCTACCTATTTATTTTAAAATCAGTACAGGATAGCTCAGAGTTCGTATTAACAAATGCAAAAATATGTTCTCTTATACAGTTATTCAATTCTAAGCATTTTACAGTCCTTGAAAATCAGGAGTAGACAACTTATAGCCCTCAATGTGACCACAAGCCCTTTTTATAGCCTCTGGGGACCCCAAAAGAAAAACCACTGTATAATGTGTAACAGAGTTTATCAAAGCAAATGGAAAATTAAGAAAAACAAGTGCATGAAGCCGCTGGTGGACTTCATGCACCCACCTGGTAAAAGCCATACTCCCACAAGAGGAAAGGGGCCAAAAATTCCAGCCTGACCTCTCAGCTAATGTCACTGCATCATTAATACGCAGAAATACTAATACGTTTTCCTGGGTTTTTAAAAATTTCTTGCTGATTATTTAGCTCTATTTTCTGACTACTAGTTACTATTTCATGATTGCACAGTAACATGACATTCCTTCTAAGTTATTTTCTGCATTGTGGTCACTGGACTGTAAATAAAAGACTGACTGCAGTCTAAAATGGGGCAAGTGCAAATCAATCTTTAATGGGACCAATTAAGAATATACGCAACCAGAAAACCTAACTGCATATATTTTAATCATTAAATGAACCAATTAAATATTCCTACTTGTTTACAATCCTCAATTGAATCAGACTGATCCTGCCATCTCTGTTCTTTTATGTATAGAACCGCAGTCTCCGTCAGGTGACCTGCACCTTGGGCAACTAACAAAAATATATTCTAAAGTATTTAACTCAAAAGGTGTACTTTTAAGTTTTATCACACACTGCCCCACTTAGAACAACTCAATCTGTAGATTGGCATCACATACACACTTTGTCACATGTAAAGCTTGGTAAATTTCTAAAGGAGGCAATTCTGGTTTAAACTAATCAGGGTGAAGACAAAGGAGAGACTATGGAAACCTGACGCTTGTTCCTAGCTTGATATACCAGAACTTCAGCCAGCAGAAATGTTTGCAAATTATCCCACTTGCCCTATGATTGTAATCTTCTTAATATATACTCTCTTCTGCATTACATGGGGGCAGACCATATTGATGTTTTTCAAGGGACACTGAGTTTGGAATTGGAGTTCTGCAACTTGTTGTTTTAAAGCCCAATACTATGTGTTTACTTAGAAATAAGCTCCAGTAAATTCAGTGGAAATTACTTCAAAGTAAGCTGCCTTATTTTTGCCTGACATCCAGAAACTGACAATTTCAGCTAGGCATTTTTAAAAGGATACATCTAACATTGATATCATAATTCTGCAGGTCTCCAAGCTGAATGCTGAAATTACAAACAAAGAATTAATGCTAAGGCACCACATCCATTTCAGTTTTAATCATTACTGTTCAAAACAGGAAGAGCAAAGCTATCTCATTTATAACGATTAACCATTCAAACCCATGTAGTGATCAATTTGTTGATAACAGAGCACCAAATGATACCTGATTTCTCAGCTGGACTTAAGGCTCTGTTTGCCCATTTTTCCCAGGTGGAATGGCAATTAGGAGGCGATAGGTAACATTTGAAAGGCAAGTCAGGAATGGTTCTACACCTGGAGGGCAAACAGTCAGGTATCTTTCAGGTATTACAAGAGATTAGAATTCACTAGAAGAACAGCTATTAACAGAGAGGTGAGGTATTCTGTTGCTCCAGAAATGACTTAACATTTTGTAATGTCTGAACATAGCTTCTCTTTTCTCCTCCTTAGGCAGAGGCCTCCTTCCTTCATCTCATCTTATCACCTAGTTTCTTTCTCTTCCCTGTTCCTTCCTCTCACCCTATCTCTGTCATGCTTGGCTTTTCTTTTCATTTGCTCTTTCTGCTGAAAGGAGTGGAGAACTGGTGGGCATGTATTTCCATGTATAAGAGTAGTTTGTATATGAGAGAACTGTTGGCATATGCAAGTGGAAGATTAGTTTTACATTAGTTTAAGGGTCCTGTAATGTAATTACAGGCACATCAATGTAACAGAAAGGTTTGATCTTAATTGAATTAATTGTGATTAAGTACTGCTGCTCAGAGTCACTGGGAGGTGGGTAGCATATAAAAAAAGATTATTATTGCTTTTGTTCTGGACCTGCCTTTTTTAAGAATGTGGCTTCTGACAGATAAACACTAACTTAATATAGATGCACATATATATAAGTGTGTCATATGAACACACAAGTAGGAGGTAATTTTCAAGATTGGTTTCAACTAGAGCTGGCAATCTTAGATTAGCAGAGAAAGAAAGCCAGTAATTTTTATTTTTGCTTGCTGTCGCTTTGATAGGGGAAATCATGAATTTAGGGCCATCTTTCTTTTAGTACATGCAATAAGTAAACAGCTAATGATCAAAGAAGCAAGATGTAAAAAAAGTCAGGGATGTGCAACTTGTAGGTTACATAAAGAGCTTAGATCAATTTTTATATCCTTGAGAGCATCTTCCATCTAAACCTTATCAGCAAAACTGCCATTTTCAAAACATATTAATTTATTTTTAACAGAGGGCAAAATGTGTGTGTTCTTTCTCTTTAATACTCCTCAGACCTAGGGGAAAATTACTCAACTATTTGGATCCTGCTGACTTGAAGACATCATTGGGTTGTCAGTGACAAAACCTCTGCAGCCCTCAGAGGCAAAAACTATCAAAATCCCAAATGTGGACTCTGGACATGAGTTCTCCCATTACAGATAAAAACAGGATCACAAAATAATTACAATGTATATTATTCCCAAAAAGCAGTCCAGAATAATAAATTTAATAACCATCTTACGAGAGTAAGTTCCACTGATTCCAGACTGTGTTAGACATCTCTGTAATTCCTCTGCATCTACTTCACCATCCTGTAAAATGAATGCATACAAATCTGAGGTTCAAGGCATTAGCAAAACTGGTAAAAGAAAATCATGTATTCATAAATTCTATAGAGTTAACTTACGGTTCTATTTAAATACAATACTTCACAAACAAGCCTCAATTATATATTTGCCATACTAATTGAGTTATTTTATGTAGCTAAATCACTATGGACACTCTTTCAAAATTACAAAATGAGCTATAACTTCCTCATTTGTGACATCTTACAATAGGATAAATTATTCATAAAAACTTTTCACAAATGTTGAACTTTAAAGAAAACTGTTTCATGTGCAAGCTTTGTAAATTATGAGACAAGCCATTTAAAATCAACAAAAAACTTCTCTCCCTACTTCTCCACTCCAGGCACATCCTACAGAGTTTCTCAGGTTAGTTCAAATCCAGCTGTGTATAAAAATATACAAGACCAACAATTCATAAGTTTAAAGATATCCATATCCAATTATAAAATACAGACATAAAAGCCCATCAAGACAAAATAAATAATCTATATAATGAAAGCCTTTAAATTAACTTTTCAAGCTACCTTGATACCCATGTCAATTAGCTATCTGAGCAACTGCAACTTCTTACATGGGAGAATATCCACTCACAAAGACATGAAATGCAGCCTTTCAGCTACCATAGTATTGTGATGCATTATCTTGCTAAAATGACAAAAAGAATCTTATCTCATAATATGTTACAACTTATAAGCAACTTACATATATAATACCCACCTCCAAGTTAGTTTTACAGCAATGATCTTAAAAAAGCTTTGTTGTGAGCTTCACCAATGAAAGCATAAGGAATGATGGGTACTGAAAATCCTGTGACTTGATTTGGCCTTAAGCAAAATTCCTTAATCTAATTATGGTAATCATGTACTGACTTCTTAGAAGTTTCCCAGAAGTAGGTATATGTGTTTTCCAAACTGAATGGGCATATCTTTTTCCCAGCTAGATTAAAAAACATTAGGATCATGCTGATTGCAGTTCTCGATAAAAAGAAAACTTCAGTCATACTGACAAAAGTTCAATGTGTATGGTGTAGCATTTCTAGTAGACCTATATATTAGAGGGAGCTGTTCATGATGATTGTACAAAATGTAAACATACTTTTTGTATTTATCACCAAGGCAAAAGGATTTTCACTGGGTAAGCTCACAGGGCACAAGGAAAAGATTAAATGAATCTTGAGTTAGACATTTCTGAGTCTCATTCTCTGTTCATAATGCAAAAACACTCAGAAAGTATTTCACTGCCTTGCTTTTACCCTCCCCTCCAAAAACAATGCCCATGTTACTGCAAGTTTCTACCTGATCAGTTCTTTTGAGTGTCAAAGGCCCACGCTTCCATCACCCCACTGGTCTTGCTATATGGCAGATGACATTGTGCTTATTTGACTGGTACTTCAGGAGTGAATGTTTATTCCTCCTATAAAAAACTAAATTTACTAAAATATTACAGTTGAGAATTAAGAAAAATATGGAAGTCAGCAGTGAAGATCCTATTTATGAGAAATTAAAAACACACAAAAAATCTCTTTTCCACATAGTCACTTTAAAGCAGTGGTTTTCCAACTATGTTCTGGAAAACTCCCAAGTTCCTCAGAAACTTATCATGTAGTCTTCAATATAATGAGTCACATTTTTTTTTCCCAAAAAAATAGGTTACCATCTATTTTACTGAACATCCTCTGTAGAAGAAGTTGCAATAGAGAGCTAAGGGTATTCTAGGCTACACTCTGTACAATTGTAAGCATTTTACATAGGAGGAAGTTAGGCTACATTAAACACAACTTGTGATTGCATTTACAATTCCAACCCATTTATGCAAAATTATACAGGCTGATCCTGAAAACGTACTCCAGAACATGCTCCACAATCTTTTGCTATGCAGCTGAATTCTACAGCAGACACATGTTTTTTAACAAATGTCAGCACAGAAAAACTTCTCTCAAGATACAAAGCTTGAAAACCACTGCTCTAAAGCAATAAAAAAATGAGAAAGCAGTGGTACTTCATGTTTTCCTCACTTGCAGAAAGGGATCGGCTAAGTATAAAATGTTAATTGCAATCAATACTTGAGATGAAATAGTACTAAATATATTTAAGAGCTCTGTGCACTATGTAAACTGTAATAGATACATGAAGCTCTATACTGACTTTTTATTTTGGGGAAAAGAAGGATCAATTGTTTATTTTTTAAAATATTTATATGCTATTCCTTATAATTCCAACACCACTACACTGTTTGGAAAATTATCTTTTCCACCCCAAAAATGTATTCTTCTAGGGGCCTTCCCAGCTCACACTACCACTCCATCTTGGCTGTTCTTTGTTAAGTCTGTCTTAACTCTTCAAATGAAAGTCAAGAGACTCAATTTTGTAATGCTTCCAAAAGAGTTCAGTGGAATTTAGAGAACTGCCCAGAATGAGAACATTTAAAAAAAAAATACTGTATTCCATTTACAACTATCAAAAAGAAAACTGCTTTATGCAGTAGCTGGTCATCTTTCTAGACAAAGTTCATGGTTTATCCCCTGCCTGTAGAGAAAAAAAGCAATTCGCTGACCCGCACTCGTACTGGATACTATTTCAAGCAGTTGCTGCCCCAATGAAACAAATGTCATCCTGAAATGCCTCTCCTGTCATTCCTGTCCTCTATCTCTACCAGAAGACAGTCTACATAGGAAGTGAATACCATAATTTGCCAGTTAAGAATCATTTCTTCTTCTATGGAAGTGTTAATAAGAACAGCATTTTACAAAGGCCTTGCAATTTGAAAATAGCAGTTTCTCTGAGAATGAATGTCCAATATGGCCACCCACTTCATCTTTAGCCGCTCATCCCACATAATATATTTTTGGATTAGAGAATGAGTTCAAGTATATTCTGGTAGCTATTTGCCTACAATCTAATCACAAAGAAGAGAAAATACTAGTTTCCAAAAGCAACATACTCTCTTTAATTGTTGAATGGCATGTATTTTTCAGCTTTCCACAATTCAAATTTATTTTGTCAGCATAAGCTTAGAATCACACACGCATAAGCTTAGTGACTGCAATAACTCTCTCAGTTCTGGCAATAAAATAACTTTCCCTCACTGCTAAGCTGCCTTGGCCACCAGAGAGCAAACAGAATTTAGCACTGGTCAGAATTCTTGTCAGTAGGCAAATAAAACAGATCAAAGAACATCCTAGACATAAAGATCTATTTGCAATATAAACTACCATTAAATCCCTTCAAATTAGCTCAAACTCAGTATCAAAAATTCTTTCTTTGGGTGATAAACTTTCAGGATCAAAGGATATTATTTAAGAAGGCAGTACTTACATAGTCCCTGTGTGAGGTCACATGTAATTTCTTTCTCATCAGCTTGCAGTTCCACAAATGGAACTCAATATAGAATCAAATGAGTTGTGCCAGAGGCATGAATGCCTTTACTACTGAAATACTATATGACTACTGCTATTGTTGAGATGCTAACTGATGAATTATTAAACAAATCCCTTAAGACTGTCAGGCATTCTTTGTAAAGAATACAGAAATTAAAATGCAAGTGGAAGGAGAAGAGTAAATGTAAAGGAAAGCTACTCACCTGAAACTGGAGTTCTTCATGAATATTGCTTTTGCAGTTCCACACTCTTGAGAGAATGCATATTGGCATCACAAGTCCCAAAACGCTCTAGAGACCAATGACCTGTGGGGCCATGCATATGCCCTTTGGTGAATCTTTACTATAACCTTTTAACCAGTCCTTTCGCCCAGATTATACAGATATGGCTTCTGTGCTACTCAATACCTAGCCACATATAATGTACATAACTCTTCCAAACTGAAGCCTGATGTACATTCACTTAAACACTGATTCACTAATAATCAAGTTTATATTATATAAACCTTGATGTAGCTATTCTAAGTTGCCAGATACCCCTACAAATAAAATTGGCTAAAGATCATGGTCCAATTAATGAGCTCAAAAAGCAAATTTACAATAGCCCTCCCATTCCTCTTACACAGAGAGTATAAAATTTAATTATTTAAAATATTATCATAGGAAGGCAGCTTTGTATTGCTTGCCTATATCTACACTTAAGAGCTGACTATGGATTCCATGCAAATGAACAGATTAGTTGAAGGTGAATCTCTCCATTCTTCCTCTCAGTCCAGCTGGATATTATGTTGGTCATAGATGAAAAAAAAAACTTATCTTCATTTCTCTTTTTTCTTCTATCAAGCTGTTTGCTATAAATCTTTAAAAACAAGCCTAAAAGGCTAGCAATCTCCATGGTGGCTGTAGGACAAAAGGCTATCTTGTACTCTATAGCCAGTCATATTGGCAAGCTATTAAAAAAATACAGGCAAGCAACTTTACAGGGTTATTTATAAGGGTGTAATACTAATAATACTGCTAATATATCCACTGCCAAACAAAACCCTGAGATTAGGGGGTATTTCTAACACTGACCAGCAGAAAAAAAAAATGACATTCTTTCAAAACTTTAGGATAGTTGCTTAAACTAACCTACCTGTCCAGCAGTAGCACTGAAGAATGCCCACAAGGGATCAACAGCAGCACCAGCATAGGCACCAGAATAAACAGAATATCCAGGAGATCCATCATGGGCTACAGTTTGTACCCCTCTAGGGACCGGTTGGCCCACTGCCATTTGCATTGGCATCTGACCATGGTAAGCACCATACTTTTAACAAAAAGAAGAGATACATTTTACTATATTCATCAGCCTAGCACAAGCTGATATTATTAATAAGGGTTAATGTCATTTTTTTTAAGAGTAGGATATACATGGCTATTCCAATATTAATATGATTATCAGGATAGGATGTTTTAGCAACTTAACAGATACTCATCACTGCTTGCCCCCAAGCCATAGCAGAGCAGGATTTTACTATCACTCTAGGAAGGACACAGCACAGTATTCCCATCATTTGGAAGCACAAATAGAACCAAAGCAATGCTAGAAGATAATGTAGACATTCTTGGCTTTGCTGTACTAATAAGGAAAAAGCTGGCTCATTCAGCTGATTTTGCTAGTATTAATACACTATATCCCAAATGAGGAACAAAACAATGACTGGGAAAAAAATAGCAACGATTTTCCAAATTTGGGCTAAGGAATTATGCCCATTTCATTCAAAACCAATATATCTTTCCTTATCACTTAAAAAAATAGCCGGCAAATTCCTAGCTTTTTCAACATAGTAATTTCTAATCCCCCAAATCACTTAGATGGTATAAAACATTAATTTAACCCAAAAAATTATTAATCTAGAAAATGGATCATTTTCTAAAGGAAAAAATGAAAATAAGTACTCTTCTAGACAAGTTGACACTTCCATGCAGTTTTCTTGCTGTGGCAGAGAAGTGATTTGCAGATGCCTCCATCCAGGATTTTTTTTCCCAACTTCCTACTTTAGTCTATGGTCCTGCGATTTCCTGATGGTCTCCGATCCAAGTATTAGCCAGGTCTGACCCTGCTTGTTAGTTAGGTGCTGTTATTCAGCTGAGCAAAACATGAAACTAATTGCTACTTGCCAAGAAATAAATTGATAAATGAAAGTGTCAAAAAAATTGTCCAAGCCTTGATTTTTCAACTATCAAAAGCAAGATACTTCTTATAATTGCAAGATAAGTAACTAATGAATCTTAAAATAGTCTGTAAGTAACTTCTGAAACTCATGGATAAGCAACTCTTACATAAAAAAAAATCTTAGCTATTTTTAAAAGTTTACCCATAAATCTGAAAAAATAAGTCTATTACAACTAAAGCATTGAAAGGATCCTACCAAACTCACGAGTCGTAAAAGGTTTTTCAAGATATGACCCAGTGGTGAGTTTCTACAAGCAGAGGGTAGGAGAGGAACGTAACAATTCCTCCTTCCCTGCCAAACCTTATTATTCCTTAAAAATATGCTCTAGAAGTTCTCTCAATTTTTCAGAAAATTTTTGAAGGGCACGCATGGTTAGGAACTTGAATCCACTGAATTCCATTATTTCTTCTGTACTGCAACTTGGCACACAGGCTCCCATGACCCACAAATAAAATAACCTTAAGAAACAGTATCTAGATGAAACTGAATGCATTCACAGATTTCTTCAGATAGAAATTTTAAGAAAGATTATTAATCTCCAAATGGCTGCCTGTTAATAAAGGTTCAATGGTTTCAAAGCTTTAAAATGTACAAAGTAATTTAAAGATAAACATGCAACATAAATTGATATTCTAATAAATATTAGCAGTCCAGATGTGTTAAAATGGACAAGAATCCAAGTAATGTTTACAATATTTGGCACAAACGGAGCATAAAGAATTTGCTAGCTAAGTGTCTCTCAGGGGCCTCTTTCATTGAAAAGCCTTAGCAGCCACCCATTCATTTGATGGGGATATATGAAATAAGGCTTCCAAAGAGGATTTTAAATTTCAACCAGGTTATTAGATTATATTATTATATTAACAGAGGCAAATTAGAAATGGTTTAACCTATATTGAAGTTTTCTAATCCACTTTACAGAAATAATCATTATTCCATCTTTATAAATTATACATGGACACTATTTATAGGGATGGACAGCCCACAAGCCATGTATGCCCCCCCCGAACTTTGAGAAAACACCTTCTTAAATATTGTCACTTCTGTAAAGTGGCAGTTTTTAAAATCATCTATCCCTGTTTTAGGGGAAGATATTCAAGCTCTACTGAAACATGTTAGAAAGCTATGTTTTGTTACTATGTAACCAAATATATTGTAAAACCCACAGTACAGATAGTCCTGCTTAATGACTGCTGTTTAGCGACCATTCAAAGTTATGACAGCACTGAAAAAGTAACTTTACAGCCAGTCCTTGCACTTCCAGCTATTGTAGTGTCCCTGCGATCACATGATCGAGATTCAAGCATTTCACAACTGGTGGGCATTTACGATCATTGCAGCATCTCTCAGTCATGTCATCACCATCTGCACACTTTGCAGCCAGCTTCTGACAAGCAGAGTCAATGGAAGAGCCAGCAGTAAAACAGCAAGTTGTGGTCACATGTCTCACTTAATGACTGCAACAATTAGCAATGGAGTTGCCAGTCCCAACTGTGGCCATTAAGTGAGGACTACCTGCATATATTTACCATTTCCTTCTATCAGATTGTATGTGTGTGTGTGTGTGTGTGTGTGTGTGTACACACACACATATATATATATAGTTTTAATTTGTTTTGGCATTATCTTAATCTGTTATAGATCACCTGAAAAATATTTCAAACACAAACTTTAGAAATTAAAGTAATAAAACTAATTTAACAATCTTCCTAAACTTTAAACTCTTCAGAAAACAAGTCTTAATATATTTATAATACATTAAGATTGGTCTTTTAAAAAATACATAAAGTTGTGTTAATCTTGCTCCTTTTCATTTAACAACAGATCAAGACCCAGAGGATATCTCAGGTGGCAGCAAATTACCAACATTAACTAATCTTGAAAAAGCCAAACAGGGCAACATCCAGTTAATACTTGGATGGAAGACCACCTGGAAACCCTAGAGCTATAAACTAGGTTGAGAAATTAATAAAACATCCCAGAAAAAAGTAATGGCAAATCATGTCTTTGTCCTGCCAAGAAAACTGCACAGACTTGTTACGTTGACTGAAAAAGACTTTTAATTTTTTTTTCCTTAGTAGATAACCAGTTTCCTAAATTAATTTTTTTTTGGTTAAATTAAATTTTATGCCAAGTAATTTTGGTAAATGGCAAATTACTTCCATATTGTTGTTGCCAAGGAAACAATACAGATTACGTCCACGTTGTCACCAGAACTCAAAAAAGGCTTTGTTAGGAGTTCCAGAAATTAGGCAGGCAAAATTGTCTGGAAATGTATCGGGGGTGGCAGGGGCGGGAGGGTGGAACGACACCTAAAAGGCACAAAAACGTTTTTAAAAGGCAAATCCTATTTCCTCTGACAAAAACGAAGAGGTTCTCACCTCGCACATACTACAGTACTACAACTTACTCCCCCCTAGTCCCCTTCCACGATCCTACTGGTTGGAAATGGTACTAAATTCCATTCCACTTGGAGAGCAGCGAGTTGTAGGAGATCGCAGTAACATCTCCCAAAGCCGGGGGGGGGGGAAAGAGGCCTACTCGGGTTTGGGGGTAAAGGGAAGAAGAACGGAAAGAAGATATTTTCTACAACCTGAAAACAAAACCCCGGCTGCAAAAGAAAAAACAACAGACCGAGGAGACCCACTAGCAAAAGGTGAGAAAGTGAAAATAGCTTTAAAACGAACACTGGCAACAAGCCTCGAAGCCAAATAAATCTAGGAAGGAGCGACAGCAAGTCCGGCAGGGCCTGCGCCTTCCCGTTTCCTTACTCACCGCTCCGAACGCCGGGTACGTCATGCCGAATTTGCAAGAGAAGACCGTTAAACGGCGCGGAAGAATCCGTTAGCCGAATGCGAAGCTCGAAGCAATTCTAACCCGCCGAAAACACGTCTAATTCTCAAAGGCCACAACCGCTTTTACTCTTCCCTAAGTCGCCGTTCGAAGAGGCGGAACTTCCTTTTCCGTCTCGCCCTCCTGTATCGCCTTCCTATTGGATAACTCGGTCATCCACTTCCTCTCAGGACAGGTTCGCAAGATGAGGAGGTGGGGAGAGCGTTAGAGGTGTATGGTGGGAGAGGAGTTAAGAAGGAAGTCCCGCCCAGTCCGGAAATGGGGGTTGCGGATAAGGTTGTAGTCCTGGATAAGAACAAAGGTCAGCACGACTACGGCTTCCCTAAAAGGCAGCGAAGCCATTCGTATTTCCTTGATAGCGAATATGCGAGAAAGCTAAACCGACTATCGAAATCAATATCAACGGAAGAGATTAATGTTGCATGTAGTTTTTTTTAACAATACGTATTGCTTGTGCTGAGTGCAACGTAACGTTAATCATTCCTCTATTGCGGGATGGTTTCCCCTACAGCGTAGTTTGCTGAGTATTTTCCATCCAGAAATGGATGAATCCTTTTGTATTTTTATAACGAGCTGAAAGACTCAGTTAACAAAGTGGTACTCTCTTCATACCTCAAAAATGTTAAGTGTTTCATCCTCCTATTTTGATTTTATTTTATTATCTCAATTCCTATAATACATGTATTATGAAAGTTAAATACTGGGATAATATGTATCCTTGTGTCACTCTTCCTATTATGAACCACTGTTTCTCCAGTTTCAGTTCTTGCAGTTTTTTTGTTGTTGTTGTTCGTTGTAAAGATTCTTGTAAAAAATCAGTGTTCTTGCACACCAATTAGATATTTCTGATATGATCTATACAATCAAAAGGTTTTGTTGTAATCCACAAAACAAAGGTAAACCTCCTTAAATTCTCATTCTCTCCATTATTAAAATTATGTTACCCAGAATCCACCTGCCTTTTCTGTAACTCTTTTCTGTAGCATTTGTCATTTCATGTATAGCTCTATTCTTTTCAGTAAAATCTTAAGAAAAACTTTGTGGGTGATATTGGGGCATTCTCCTACATCTCACTTCTATATAAGAATATACACTAATCTCTTCCAATTTGGAGGCTACATAATCTTGCTCAGTATTTGTTGACATAGAGCTGTGAAAACTTAACTGCTTCTTCTGCTACAGCTTTAAATAAATCAGTGAGTACTTCACCTGTGTCTGGTGCTTTCTTATTTGACAGGTGGTTTCTGACTCCCATGGCATTTACTCTCAGATAAAGGAGTAGGGACCTGCAGTGTTATTACAAGCATTGATTAATTGGTTCAGATAAGTGTTGGAAGACTAGATAGTGATTTATCATATATCTACAATAAAGATTTTAAAAATTATCTACTCTCTGTTTCAGTCTCTGAGAAAATACATTAAAGACTCCAGTAGCAATGCTTTAGCTTTTATGTTTGTCATCAAAATGCAAGCAATTAAACAATAATATATGTGGAAAATTCAAACAACCACCTACCCACTTTTTTCAGACATGTAAATGTTTTGTTATGTCGGTTGGCCTTTGAAAATTGACCATTGCTGCTTTCATTTGATCTCTGCACTGTTTTCTATTTGTATTACAATACTTGAAATCCATGCCTATAATGAAAAGCAGAAGACATTCTGCCTTAATATATCTTGACAATAGCAAAAACAAGACATTTTAAGAGAATCGGTATGGTAAGGATGGTCTAGGAGCCCCAGATTCAAATCTATGCTCTGCCATGAAAACTCAGTGGTGATTTTGAGATTGTTATTGTCTTTCAGCCCAGCCTCCCTTGTAGATACAAACTGAGGTGCTTGTGTTAGCTACTTTGCACTTCTGGATGACAACTGATACAGAAATATAACAAAGAAATTGCCATTATTTCCACGGGTGTCCCACTAGTTTGAGTAAAATGGCTCCTCCATGTATGGTGATAATGTTGTCACACAGGTTGTCTTCAGGTTATGACAGTAATTGGGAGCAGAATTTCCATCACTAAGCAATGCGTAGTTAGGTGAAGCATCACATGACCACATCCCTTAGCGACAGCAATCCCAGCACTCCCCATTGCTGTCGTTAACCAAATCCCTCTGGTCGTTAGGTGAGGACCCACCCCAATCCAAGCCATTCCTGGCTTGATCTCTCCCAGCCTGGAGCCTCAGTAAGGTAAGGGACTACCTCCTCTCCCTCCTCTTGAACTCCCCCACCCAGCTATCTTCCCCCCCATCTCTACCCTTTTGGCCACTCTGCACAGTGGTACTCTACAGTGGCGGCACCAGTGGTGCTGGGGCTGAAGTATAGGTCCAGGAGCAATGGCAGCTATCCGAGACTGCTGAAGGCCCTGGGCCCCTACTTCAGCCCCAGTGCTGCTGCCAAGGAGTGCTACTGTGCAAGGCAGACAAAAGAGCAGAGATGGGGGGGAGATAGGCAGGGGGGAGTTGGTGCCCCTCTGGTTGTAAGTGCAGTCAGGCTGCCAAGTGCCTGAATTTTGATCGCATGACTGCAGGGGCAATGCAACAGCTGTAACTTTGGGGACTAAGCATAAGTACCATTTATTCAGTGCCACATATCTTTGGTCACTGAATGAATGGCTGTAACTTGAGGACTACCTGTAGTTTCCAGCTGAAATGAAAGCTAAAGTCCACCAGAGTGCTGGAGGCATGTTTGCCCTTCCCTCCCTCCTTTTCCATTGTTTATTATTTTAAGGGATAAAATAATGATTTTAATTTTTTTCTGGGCTCAGTAAATATAAAATTCAGTGGCTGTTGTCCCTATGGAGAACTCCTGGGTAGTGGTGGCAATAAGGAGAAAAATCAGCTGTTTTCAACTTTTATCACCTACCAACTCTCCCTGTGAAGCAGGCAGCCAGGAGCCATGATAATGGCAGGCTCATGCTACCCAAGAAGAATGTACTGAGGATATATAATAATAATTTATTTGAAGGGCATTGTTTTGATACACAATTTTACACTCATAATGTGTGGGCATGCATGTGATA